GATAGAGCCTGGTGGAACCACTGAAACTATGGTCCCTATCTGCCCTTCAGGTCTGGAATTAAACCTACACTTGTGGCTTCCAGCCAACAAAAGACAGATATATAAGGTCAACATTTACACTAGGTAGATACACTCTTTGGAGAGAACAAATCGTGGGAGAAAGAAGGGCTGTTTATGCACAGGGAGACAGCTCAGGGGTAGGAGTATGTGGAGGGTTGAACACAGGGAAGAAGTAAGGGGAAGAAGTGGGAGGGGAGCTGTTGCATTGGTGTAAAGTGTAGTCAATGTCATGAGGCAAAGTGTCAGTGAATTGCTGTATGGAAAGTAAATTTGCTCTGTAAACTTTCACCCAAATCACACATACACACAAAAAAAACCCACTGCCATTTAGTTGATTTCAACTCATAGCAACCCCCATTGGGTTTCCAAGGCAATAAATCTTTATGGAAGCAGATTGCCCCATCTTCTTTCACCAGAGTAGCTAGTGGGTTTGAACCGCTAACCTTGTGGTTAGCAGTCAAATGCCTTAGGCACTGCACCACCTGAATAATAACAACAACAACAACAACAAAATATATATATATATGTATGTGTATGTGTATATGTATATGTATATACACTACACTGGTGTTCTGTGAATATTAGGAGCTCTGGTGGCACAGTGCCTAAGGTATTTAACTACCAATCAGAAGGCTGGCAGTTCAAACCCAGCAGCCACTCCTCGGCAGGAAGTTTGGGCAATCTACTTTCGGAGTGATACCGCCTCAGAAACCCAAGGAGGGGTCACTATGCATTGGATCCGACTCAACGGCAGTGGGTTTTTTTGGTTGTTTTTTTGTCTGTTAATATTTTAAAATCAATATAAGTCTTGTTGTTAGTTGCCATCGAGTCATCCCTAATAGTGACCTCATACACACAACAAAAGGAAATGATGTCCATCCTGTGCCATCCTCATGACCAGTGGTGGCTCTGCCATTGTGATGCCATAAGGTTTTCATTGGGTGATTTTCTTAAGCAGATTGTTAGGCCTTGCATCCTAATCCATTTCAGTCTGGAAGCTCTACTGAAACCTGCTCAGCATTATAGGAACACACAAGCCTCCACTGACAGACAGGAGGTGGCCGTGCATGAGGTACATTGGCCAGAAGCCAAACCTGGGTCTCCCACATGGAAGGTAAGAATTTTACCACTGAATCACCAATATGCTCTGTCTTGGTTCTCTAGTGGTGCTATAACAGACATACCACAAGTGGATGCCTTTACAAACAGGAATTTCTTCTCTTACAGTTTAGGAGGCTAGAAGTCTGAATTTAGAGTGCTGGCTGTAGGGGCTAGGGAAAGGTCCTTCAATCTTGGGGTTCAGCTCTGCCTCTTGTTCCAGGCCCACTGGAGCTGGAGGCTTCCTGTAACTCATGAGGCTGTTGGCTGCTGAGGCTGAGCAACAAAAGATTGACAGGTAAAATGACACAATCCCAAGATCAGCAGGCAGCATGGCAGGCCAAGACAGCCAAATGCAAGACTCAAAATGTGCCAAAATGCTAGAGACCTTCCTCAAAGCTTCTCCATGTATATACTGAAACCAGGCCATACCCTAAAGGCCACTATACTTAGCTGTTCACAGCAGATTCCACCATGGAGATAATTACAATCTCATCATTGGGAATAACTATATCCAGCTGCCAAGCCAGTCAAAACCACAACCCAACCAAGTTGACACACAAGCTCAACTACCACATCCTCTAATTTAAAAAAAAGTACCTAGTAGTTAGTTCATTTCAATTCTGCTGGAGCTCATTCAAACACAAAAGATCTTGATGTTGGAAGATGATACATTTCAAGATGAGCATCACATCAGATTGTGGTACAGACCCAGTCAATATTGTGGCATACAGACCTGCATCTCCTTATTCAGAGAAATGGTAACCAGAATGCCTCTTTAAAAAAGAAGTGAATACACCATGTGAACAACTAATTTAAGAGAAAGATGACCCTTATACCTCTTACAATGATGCTGTCTTGAGTGAAGAAGCACTCAGGTTAGAATAGTATCTGAGACTTGGTGCCAGCACAGAAATACTCACAGTATGCTACATAGTCAATGAAAAAAAAAACAACAACAAACTTGTAATACCTTTATATGGCCCCCCAAAATTAACATGATATAAATATTTGTTCTTTTCCCATATCAACTACTATACTAGTAATTTTACTTACATAGCAACTGATAAGCCTAGAAAACAATAATAGTCATAATTTTGAGAACATGTTTTATTATCCTATCCTCTGATACATAAGCATTATGTATAATCAATTACAAAGATAAATTCATGGTAATGATAGTTTTGCATGTATTGATAATGGTGAGTTGAATGACCAATGCAATATTAAGATATATCATTAGAGAGCATAAGCGTGCATGTTAAAGATATCAATGATAAGCCTTTTAACAAGAAAGTTTGATTCAAGAATAACAACATAAAATCATTTAGGCCATCTGAGAACTATACAATACTGGCAAACAAAATATTTTATAATCTAAGGACATTTGAAATTTTTTAAATGTGCTGTTGTTGTTGTTGTTAAGTGTCGTCGAGTCGTTTCCGACTCATAGTGACCCCATGCACAGGAGAACGAAACACTGCCCAATCCCACGCCAGCCCCACAATCCCTGCTATACTTGAGCTCATCATTGCAGCCACCGTATCAATCCATCTCGTTGAAGGCCTCCCCCTCTTT